TGCTGGGGTTATTATCTAATTTCTTCACGGGAACACGCACAAGCGTCAGTCCCAATTCGATAGTTGCACGAGCAACATTCGACCGAGCTCGCGAGTTGTACGAGCAACAGCGATAAAGGATCACGTTTCAAATGGTTACTGACGCAAGCCATTTCAGTACCGTTCATTGTCCCGTAATCCACATGTAATAACAACAGATCGAATCCGGCAAAGGACTACTGCATTCCGTCTATCTCTTTCGTTTGAGTATTAGCGACTACGTTGCGTTTAGTTAAAGTTATTTTGTATTAATAGCATTAATTCGTATTAATTTTCGCCATCCGTGGCGAATCTCTGAAACTGTTAGCCATATAATTAGCTAACAGTTTGAGCGATTCGCCACGGATGGCGCCACCGGTCAAAAAAATAGTGCTACTCAGCGATTAAATGCGATTTTAACAGTGTTCTGGTCGTTTATTGTTATTGTCAATGGCAGGGGATTAATCTACGTTCTTTCAGCTACAAATCGAGTGCTTTATCTAGACGAAAGCTATCCGTATAACGGTGTTAGAGCTGTCTAAAGTGAACTAAACGGGGTACGCATGACGAGATACAGTGTCAACCGTTGCAAATAAATATAATTTTAACAATGTTCTTGTAATTACTGGTTCCCAGCCGTTAAAGAATATTATTCTACGTTCTTTAACCTTCGAATTTAATGCATGACGAAGAAAAATGATGCCCGTCCTCACAAGTAGTAGTTTCTAACTTTGTTTATGAAAATACAAATTCCAAAATCATCTCGCGCCACACGTCTAGGGCAGTTCTGTCCTGAACTTACGCACAGAACGTAATTAAAATCATTTAAATAAAATAATTCATATTTCTTATTTCTCATAAATACTAAGACGGGGTTGTTGTAAATAATTTATGATAAAATACAAATCCCAATTTTTCCGGCATTTTTCCCAATTTTTAACCACTCCGAAGGTTACATTACAATGTATCTTACGACTAATGTTCGGTCTATATTCTATATCTCGTATGTGGTACAACTCATACTTTATGAAAACAGGTACAGTATACATACACATGTAAAACGTTATAAAATAAAAGATTTATTACAGTTCAATAACGTCTGTATTTCATTTCAAATTTAATTATAGTACACACAATGCAGAAAGGACGTTTTTATTTTACTTTTTTTTGGAAATAAAACTGTAGAATTATAAATTTGTTAATATGTCCATAGTCTGCTACAGTTACAACTTCCTGTATTATATATAGCAATTAGGAAATATCTATATAATACCCATTATTTCCATTATCGATACATCAAAAGACCTAAAAATATGTACACACAAATTTCATCATTATCTTACTTTTTCTATATGTAAAATAACTTTAGAGATCAAAATGTGCTTACTTAGAATTAATTTCATCACCTGGAATGTAAAATGGATTGCATACAGCATTAGAATATGCAGCATGCAACTTTTTAAAGATCTATAAAGAAAATATGTTATTATATTGACTATTGAAATTTAATACTAAATTATAATCTGAATGTTAAATAATTTCTATATATAATACCATTTTTACATCATTGTCTCGTAATGATATGTTTGATGACTGCAATACAATAATGAATTTGATTTTTGTATTTGTCGCATACCCGTATCTAAAATTGGAAACCAAACAATTTATTAGTATGTCCTTAGTATTAATATATAAACAATCATTCATAATATTATGTACACTGTATACATTTTATATTCTTCTGTGGCATATAACAATCCTAAGTACAAATCCCGTATATCAATCGCCGTTTTGTTACCAATATTCAGTTTCTCTTCTATGATGTCTATTGATGTGTGAACCTTGCAGTGGAATTGCAATGCCAACGATTCATCAGCACATCTAATGTATTTCGGAGAGTTCTGTTTAAAATGTTTAATTAGTTAAAAACAAAAAATGTAGCGATAGTATTATAAAATTCGTCCTAACCTCAAGTAACCAAATGGTGTACTCACATCTTTACCTATTACAGCAACACAAACTGCCATAGTTAGAGACCTTATAATAATTCAACGTTATAATCCATATCAATGTTTAATAAGTGAATGTAGAAATTTCAATTCTTTTAAAACTTACGATCAATGTAAATATTCTTTCAACTTCATGGACACAAGTTCTACTGTCACTTTTGACTACCATGTTGAGATACCAATACACGTTTCGTACTAGGCTTAATTACAAAATATATGCATTTATTTATAAAAGTAACAATTATACAAGAATATTTATTTGGTATAAATATAGATGGCAAATATTTTACAAAAATACTGACCCTTTTACAAACGAAACAAAAATATATTGAACTTTCTGTGTAGTAGATTCTTAATTTATTAAATAGAAACTCTCATTTAAAGAAAAACGGGTATTAAACTCTTTATCCACACATAAAAACGAATAGATAGTAATATCGTGGTGTTTAATAATATCTTTTCTTTAATGTTCTGTATTTGCGTAACATGTATAAAGCTTCCAGTTCTTTAATGACAAAGTTCCCGTGGACCAGCATTTTCTCAATTTTCTCTGGATCGCGTTCTCCTCTATTTTTTTCAAAAGCTCTTCTCAAATTCTGCTTGAAGAAGTCATAACCTCTGGGGTAGTCTTTACCCATGTACAACAGCTAGAAGCAAAACCGATTACACAAATTTAAATTCATAGTAATCCAGTAAATATGTAAATGATTCGATTTTGTTTACACATAATAAGATGTATCACAATATTTTATGTATGTATAATTTTAGGATAACACTTTAGTATACACATTAATTTGAAATAAAATTGTATTACTTATTACCGTTTTGTACAGTTGAATAACTTTAGACTGTTGAGACATTGGTTTAAATGACAATGTATCAATTAACATTTAAGTCAATATGTTAGCATTCAGTAAATATTTAACAAAATATGTAACAAAGTGCGCAAAATGCAAAGAAGTGAGAAATGATGCCATCTAATGATAACAACATGAAAAAAACTGGCTAGCAACTTCAGTGATTTACCGTTGATGGCGACACGGATAAGTTTGATCACATTTATCATTCGACTTGAGATGCTTTTACAAACTTCGACGTTTGCGTCTTTCTTATACTAGTTGTAAGATTGAAATGAAACTATATATTTGTTGTTGATGACGCCGGACGCACGGCTATATACATTGTGGATGTTCTTTCAAAAACAGAGGAAACAGAATCTATATAAACAGCTCTTATCCCAAGTCCCTTCACACCCTATATTTCTGTCAAACTCATTTGTCCTTGCATTTGAAATATAAGTATTCCAGCTTCTGGACACTGTAATGACCATTTATTTAAAATCTAATCATTTGGCGCATAACTTCGCGGGGTATTTGGAAAACATTTCGGAAGACTGACTGCGCTGCCAATAGGCAAGCCCGAAAAGTTGAAAAAGCCGAACATGGCGGTTGCAGCCAACTCCTTCGATAGCTGGCTCAGTACAAAGCTGCAAGCTTTAAATACTGACGAAGGTGTGTTTGTGTCGTACATCAAAGGAATTTTAGAGGGTGATGAAACAGAAGATGAAAAAACCGAAGCTCTCGAAGGCCTTCTCGCTGGCATAACGGTGAGGAGCACACGGATTGTGAGATTAGAATGCGCTTGCTGTTCGTAGTCGAAGTGTATTAGCCGGTCAAAAATAACAGTCGTGCGGTTCATTTCGCCTGCATGTTCGAACCTTGTTGTTACGTTTATTTCCCTCTTGAATAGTCTAATACATTATATATAGACAAGTGTGAAAGTTCCCCGACGGTTTTGAGTAATGAATAGATCGCAAATGTACTTATGACGACGGAAATGTGAATTAAAATTAAAAAGAGTAGTTATATTGTATTACTCCAAACCAATAGATCTTTTGTACTCAGTTAAGTATTTGGGAATATTGTACAATATATAATTATACACACCTTACTTCCCATTGTAATGTTAATTCCTATTGATTTATAGGATGATGACATTAGTAATCATGTGACCGAAATATTAAGTGCTTGGGCTAAATGGCTCCCTATGAAGGGCGCTACTGCTTCAAACGAACCAGTAGAAGATGTGGATGTTAGGCTAGCAAAGATGCTTGAATCTCAGTCTTTGGCAACTACAACACAAAGAGGAAGAGCAGAAACAGAGGAGGAAAGGCGGGTAAGAGAGGCCATTCTTGCACAGTACAGTCAAATATCAGATGAAGAAAACAGTGATGGTGAGAAAGAAGAGGATGGTGCAAGTGGAGGAGATTATGGAATTGAGAAAAACACAAACGCTGCTGTAATAGTTCAGAAAGAACGAGAGAGGAGGGAAATGGCAAGGATAAGAAACCAAATGAAGAAGGAGAAAGACAAAGAAGAGCGGTATGATATAATAATAATAATGATGATAAATAAAAATGACAGATATATTAATGTCAATATTATTTTCTACCCAGGGAGAAACAGAAACAGTTAAGGGACGAAAAAAAGGAAAAACGTAAGACCCAAAAACAAGAACGACGAAGGTAGCAGTGACACAACAGGATCCTGAAATTGACATCAAAATTTGAAATAATTGAATATAAATTAGCATACATATATGTCTGCGTTTATTCTTACGCATACAACGATCTCCAACAGCTATTCAAATGACTGCTAATCCTCCTTTCTAAAAGAGCATACATTCGGATGAGATACCAAACATATGCATGTAGCTGAATAATGTTAATTACAACTTTGTGGTATATGACATTACATCCTGTGTCTTCTGTCTGTTGAAAATCTCTGTATATCTACTCTTCTATGAACGACTTTTCTATGTACATTTTTTCTATTCTTCTTGTACCATTAAAATTTGTTAATCATTGTTTAATCTACATTTAGGATATAATCTGTGAGATTACTTTCCTACTTGATCCTATTTCATTTCAGTTTGTTATACAAGGTTAAGTACAAAACAGTAATAATCCGAATACAGATCCATGATTTGTACTTGTTATTACGCTCATCTTTTTTCAACAAGATCATGTATTTAATACCAGTGCATTAAATAAAGCATTTAAATACCCAACAAATTATTTACCAAATAGATTACAATTATTAACTGATTAATATCCATAATCTACAAAGGAAATACTGTACGCTTTTCCTTATTATTATAAGCAAAACATACGGTTTTATAATTATTTTAACGATTATATATGTATATATATACATAGAAAATATTTAAAAATATGATGTTGCAGATACATATGACTAATTGAAACTAAATTTGAGTTAAACTAATGTTCACAAAATATTTGTTCTTATACAGAATACGTTAATCGTTGCAACTGTCAAAATACCATAAACGTATGATGAGGTAGTCCTGAAAGGAACAGTCATTTGATCAGGCATTGTTCTTGTATTTGTATTTTTTATTAGTATATATTTACACACAAGATACCGTGTCGAAACCGAGTCATCTTGGTATTGCATTAATAATGAAAGACAAACGCAGTAAGATAAAAACAAACGAACAAATGATACAAAAGATGATGATGCTTCAGTATTGTATCGTTACATGTACTAATGTCGTTATCATAATCATTTATTATTAGCAATTCTTTTCTTCATTCACTATAATTAAGTGGGCAGAAATTGACGAACTCGCACTTACACGATATAACAAGGTCTTCCCCCGCTTGTCAACGGCAAGTTACAAATTATCGTTGCATATCTCTCTCTCTCTCTCTCATCCCCTTTCACGGATTGTTCTGTCACTCTCTCTTTCTCTCTGTATATGCTTTCCCCCTCCCATTTATTTCTTCATGCACATGTATCATTTTGTAAAGCTCGTTGTAACACATCCAATAAAACATTCTCATACGTATCGACTCAAATCAATATACATTTCAAAGTAAACACACTAACGGATATCTAATGAAATCACGATTAGAATGTACGCCATCGATTTTTATCTCAAACATGCGAAAAACTGCGTTATTACCAAAGATATATATATTTATGTATATATATATATATATATTTATTATTACATTTTGTACATGCTTCTATATTCACGGGATACGATTTATACCGATAACATGAAGTTCAATAGAGAGAACTCGACAATGACGAAAACATACGAGACGCAGAAATTTACAAATTTGGTTACAATACACTTGTTCATTCGATAGCAGCGGCGTGGAACATCGTGGATCGGACTTTCACGACACATCGAGATCGATACTCGCTGCTCGGTGCACCTCCTGTTCCTAACGATCTAGAGGAAATTCGAACGACGCGCTAACGCAAAATTGTTCGTTATTCATGATTGTCCTATCGAGGATACACTGAAAATTAAAAAGAAAAGAAAAAGAAAACCGATCGATCGTCGCAACGATTTGATTGGTCTTGCGTGTCGCGAGAGGGGAGGGGGAAAAGGGATGGTCGCGGCAATATGGCAAACGATTTTGCCATGTATGGATCGTTACTATCTAATTGAACTCGGGAAGATCTAGTCCACGTCGTTTAATTGATAATTAGTTTGCCAGCTGCCCTAACAGAGATAAACGCTAAGAGCATTACCACGCTGAAGCTTGAAAGTCCTCCTTTATTTCTTCATCTCTACGAATGTAGGATCTTTTAGAACATCATCCCCCTTTTCCGTTACACTTTTCAAACTTGAAAGCGTCTTTTTTATCCATCCTTTTTTTTTTGTATTTCGATAGAATTGTAAAAACTTTCGTGTCGATTGCTACCGTCATCCGATTATTTCGAGCTCAAACACCTCTTCCTTTTATCACTTTTCCTCGTTACTCGCTCTTCAAGACCGTATACTTCAGTGTTTTTGTTTTGTTTATACGTATATATATATATATATATAAGCGTACCGTGTTGCGCGTACACGCAACGCGATCAGGTTACATACGTGCTGTTCGTTCCGTGTTAAAAATGAACTCCGTCACAACAAAACCGCGTGGGGTTTCACAGGGACGTTGAGCGACACGATGACTATTCGTTGAAATAGAGAACCTGTCCATTTCGCACTTATTAACGATACTTTATGAACACGGGATCCTATTATTACGCTACTAAATTTAAACGGAACTATATTTTAGTGGCGTGTTTAGCTATTTGATGATACACGGATTCGATAAGGCATTTCATTTGATAAATGGATGTACGAATGGGTACTGTATGCTCTGAGCCTAAGCCGTTATTTTGTTGTTGCGGCGGGTTCTTTAACGCGTGCAACGAACAATTATAGATTTAGTCGATCCTAAACTCGTGTAATTTGATCCCAATGTGTACAATAGTGAACACAACTGAAAACTCAAGGACCCTACTAATTGGCACAAACAATTCGTAAGGACAGAAAAACGTGACGAGGCAGAACAGAATCGTGTGATCCCATTTTCGATGATCGCCACGTTATTATGCATTCACAAAGTCTTTACGCCATGTGTGTTCAGTTGACTCCGTGAAATCGTCCGTGTAAAACCTGACACGAAGGGAGGAATAGACTTTGCTTGTGTAATTTCGTTTCGACCACCTTTTTTATTAGGCCCTTAACAATCAGTTTAACCAATCGATAATTTTGTTTCAAAATGATTCTGTCGCGTGTTGGACAGAACTGTAATTAAAATCATGCATACTGAACACTGAACCGATTATGGATCTTCAACGGTATACGATTCACTGATGCAACTGTACACACGGACAGTACCAAAGGGAGAGGGAAAGGGGAACAGGGGACTTCACGTACCGAAGCTACCTTGTGTATGAACGGCCGTTTTTTCCTAATTACGTCTAAACGGGGTATCCTATAATTAACTCGTGTTTTCTTCGCTTCTTCGTGGATTTCTTACATGTAAAATCGTATATGTATAATATGTATATGCAGTAATGTAACTCACTCTCGCTGGACGCATTCCTCTTCGTGGGTTTGTCTCTGACTCCATTTTTTCGACTCATCGTTTATTCGCACATTCGGGCACACATGCTTTGTTAATGTTAATTATTATACACGATTTGATATTCTTCTTCGCTATAAACTAGTGTGTGTTTCTGTATTTGTGTGCACGTGGGCGTTGCCTTAGACACTACACTCGATTAACCGTAAAACTCTTTGCACTGACTACAAGTCGAATGAAGTTCTTCCGCGGGCAGCTCGTTATCTCGCGCACGCGCCGTCGACACCCGCGAATTTTCAATTAATTCGTCGCGTGCGTCCAGTCAACCAATCCGACCGACGACTCAGAAACCCGCGAGAATCGTGAGTGTATAATTTCTTCTTTTGGGTTTGCGTCACGTTACCTTGTCAGTTTAGCGCGGGTTCGTCTTTCGCACAATTGTTTAGCGTACATTCTGCGAGACGAAGTACTCAAAAGAATTTACTTAAAGATCTCTGTTGCTAATGCAGATGAAATTGTGGGCAATGTGGCGACCATCGGTGTCACGCGGTGTAGGTGCGGTTTTTATTAGCCACGTGCATTAAAGTCACTAAAGAGCATTTACAGCAATGTCACGTTTTATTACTCTCTTATCTTGAAAACGAATTCAGGCAATCGATTTCGATCTTTGTCGGTTCAACATTTTGAATTCTTTATATGAACAATTTTTCACGAGAATAATATTCTTTTTCTAGAAAAAATCTAGAAAATCTAAAATGCTCCTAACTAGTTTCTATGCTACAGAAATATGTCACTGAACCATTTACATATTGTTTCCATTAAGAAAGGTGATTTTAATATATTTTAATACAATTAAAAACAACAACAGAGATATTTATGTGCATTTTAAATACTTTATTCGTCTATTCGACTCATTTGTTTTTCCCTATTGCTATTTAATTTACGTTTAATCTTTGACAATTCAAGTTGCTTATCCTGATCACGACGTAAGCTGACTCTCTCGGTACTTATAATGTACGAAGTCTCTAATCCCGTGTATCAATAGATGAGAGCTCTCGACTCGCGGCGGAAACTTTCATCGAAACATTTACAAAAGTTTCTTTGTCTACCATTAAATCTATGTTATTTACTTCTTTTTTGAGGTGTCTGAACAAATCAAGGGCGTACAATGATGATCCAAAAGCACGCAGCGATTACACTTTGCTCGTAGCGTGTATGTACAAAGAGAATTCGTGGCGTACCAACTGAAAACGTTATTACGATCGAATCTCAGTGAATGATACAGGGTGTACGGTCCTAAAACAGACGATTCTGGGCATAAAAATGAATCACGCATATCGAAATGAAATCTTAACATTGTAGTAGCAGATGAACGGGCGATGTGTCAACGATTTCGAAGGTAAATATTCGAGAGGTTAGTCACCTTTATTGTATTGTATCGTGACTATATGTGTGAGTGCGTTGTTTTTGATCGCAGAAGAACAGTAGGCTAATGGCCCCACGAAAGAAACAGAGAAACAAGAACAGAAGTCAAAGTTTAAACGTGTTTTTCCATTTGTAATCGCCCATCATATATCATCCTACAATATTACGTCTCATTTCCAAGAAAATCGAATTCGAATAGGTTCGTCTCATGCTTTCCGTCCCTGAATTTCATCACGCGTAATCACGTGGAAATAATGCTTTATACAATAAAAACTGATGTCCCTTAACGAGAAAAATAATTGTACCGCGAGTTTGCGATTTATTCCCAGTGGAATCGTCTGTCTCCCTGACCCGTAACCATTCGTTGTAACGAGAAATGAATTGAAATGCGTGTCGAGGGTGGGAAGGGGATGATCGTATACAAACATGAGAAATGTGTATTACGTATCGCGGTAAGTGGTCGTCCTCTCAGGGGGAAGGCTTTAAATTAAAATTCTACGATGACGTGTTTATAACTTCAGTCTTCTATTTTTTTTTTTTTTTTTTTTTTTTTTTTTTTTTTTTGTTTCATTTGTTTCTCGGCACCGTGTGTTCTCACGCTCCGAGGCACAGAGTTTTGGTATTCGCGAGACTTGAATCGCACACGTCTGCCGTGGTCGCGGCACTGCGATCTCGGCGACGAAATGCTCGAAAACAACTAGCGATCGGTGCCTAAATGAAGAACAAGAGGTAAACGGCCGGTTCTCTATTATATCTATCGGTCGAATACTCGAAAGAAACATGGTTGGGCCAGTGACTACAGATACTTACATGTAAGACTCTGCATGCCACTGCTCTCGAGTGGTCATAGATTTTGGGGTTCTTAGGAACCTAGGGTGAAGTTAGGTCTGAGCTTTTCGTCATATACATCGACAAGCAAACTCGGTTTCCACTAGGGAAAATAGTAACGTCGGGAAAAGGCCTTCTACCACTTGGTATTGGGAATTACTGAAATTTATGCCAAATTAACAATCGGTTTAACAATTGTTTTGGTACTTGAAATAAATTTACCAAGTGGTAAGAGGTTTTTCTCTTACGCCCCTTTTTTTCCCCTAGTGGAAGCCAACTTTGCTCGTGGGTGTATCCTACATGTATGCTGAATGACGAATGTATTTCATACTTTTGTGGTAAAATAGAGCAGATTGCGCTCGTTCTCGAGGCACATTCATGACCCCTCATGAACAATGACATGCAGAGTCTTATAGTATTTGTAGTCACTGGTTGGATGTTAAAAGTGCTGCCTACAACATGGGGGGGGGGGGCGTAACGTGCGTTGCCGTACAACTACGAATACAGCCCTACGGAGCTCGAGTATCTCTCGTTGAATGAAACTTTCATTTTCGGGGGGCTCATATCTTAACACGAGAGAGCGTAAACCTCGTTCGCCAGCGTATTTTCGGGCAACGTGGACCACGCGCGGTAACATACAATTTTTCTCGGTCAAATCCTTCGCATATACTAAAAGGGCAGTGGTTGCCAAAGAATCTTCGACCTTAACGTTTACATCTAATGGTTTCTCGTATTTTTGCTTTTTCGTTTTCGTTTCTTTTGATCGGTGCAACGGTGATCTACGGCAGGGTCTCTCCGCCGACAGAGCAGCAGGAAAACGCGGTTCTAAGTGGTAGAAAGGTTAGGGTCGCGATCAACCAATCGGCGGAAACCGAACCAGACGAACCCGGTTAAGCAACTGCGAATATATCTAAACGCATCGACGAAAAAGATATTCTGGTATAATCTTTTCCAGCGCGACACCCCCCGAATGTAGGTTCGTGTTGTTCCGATCGGGGGCGCGGTGAAAGAAAACACAAAAAGCAAATAACGCCGCGGTGCCTCGTCGCATAGAACTCTTGAGTTTCGTTCGCTTCTTTCACGATCGGGGCTTAATTAAAGGTCTGTACAATCCTTATCCGTAATATATAATAATATGTTATTCTCTGCGTATTAATTACCTCGTGATAGAGTATATATTTATGTACGTATAATGATTAATAGGTAATGTAAAATCATTATTAGCGATCGTTTACATCTTAATATCGGAGAGATCTACATAAGACAGTGGTAGATTAATATCACAATAAGACTAATCAGGCCTCGTTAAACTGGGGCGCATACACACGTTTTCGTTTCATCCTTCAAGATCTGTTTCTGTTTTCTTTTTTTTTTTTCTCCCGGTTCGAAGTTACACACACGCCTGCTCCGTTGCCTTGACGTGTCTCTCATTATTAATTCACGACTCTGTTGGCGCCGCGGGGGGTTTCGTCAGACGACTCAGGTTCTCTCCCTTTGATGCAACTCCGAACAAAAAAAAATTCGATGCTGGCTAGTGAAGGGGGAACAGTGTTGCGCGGATAAATCGTTGTTAAAAACACATTCTCACCCTTTCCTTTTTCTCTTCTTCACTCTCTCTACTTCTCTCATAATAAACATATATACATGTATATATGTATATATGTGTTTACAAGTCAGGTCTCGTCGGTCGATCACGACGACGATGACGATCGTCTTGGTTCCTAAACGTCCTATAACACGTGTATCGTCGTCGAAAACAAAGGGCACAAAATGACGATCCCTTCCTCCGTCATCGACTCGCGAAACCGTAATTTTCAGCTAAAGTAATTCTCGCTATATCTCGGTCCTCGAAGGACCGAATATGTCAATGGGTGTTCGGGGAGGGGAATGAAATTCTCTCTCTCTCTCACACTCTCACATGTCTACGTTACTTTCGATCAACTACGATTGGTGCATATACACGTCGTTACAATTACCTGAGTGACATCTCGAGGGGGGAGGGTCAGTTGCGCACGTACAGAAACCCGTGTTTTCCGCCCTAGCTTCGCGAACAGCAACCGACCTTGTGTTTTTTTTTTCTGGTAACGTGTCGCGGGGGTGGTGGCGGTCGTTCGTCGCGTGCCACCCGTTAGTCAGATCCATTTTGGCCTCGACGGCTGAACGTCCCGTAGACGATACTGATTTATCGTATAAAAACTACAGTAAATCCTCGATGAGTGTTCGAAGGCTCCTGATTGATGACATCTGAACAAGCCTCGAGCACTCATCGATGATTTACTGTAATTATACAATATAAATTGCTTCGATTGTTCGAAAGACAGTTGCAACACATTTGCTATTATAATGCTAAAAATCGGTCGATCTTTCTTTGCAACTTGTCTATGTAACTTGAAGTATACGATAAATCGTATCGTCTACGGGGCCCCTTCAAGATCACATGCAAAAACACAACGTTTCTGTCTGGCGTCTCCAATACGATCGGGACCGATCCAGCCAGCCAAATTCAACATTATTTTCTCTTCTATCTCCCCAAAAGATCCGGCCCGGTGTATCTCATACTCTTCACGCACAGAGTCCCCGTTGGTGATACACGCGAGAAACTTCGTCGCCGGATGAACGCTCCCGGGGGTACCAATGGTTAAGTGGGTGAGGGGCGGAGGGGCAACAGAGATTGGTCATAGAGCGGGACGGTCGATCCCCCGTTGATGCTTTATTGTCGTGACCGAATCGACCGTCGTTTGTGCTCCTCGTGTCCTGACACCGCAAACACACGACAGTCCTCGAGTTCTTTTCCCGAAGAAAAGACCTACCAGAACAGTGGTTTATCGGGCTCCTCCTCCCGTTTTTCTTTTCATTTATTTTTTAGTATTTTTTTTTCTTTATGTCTGTCCCCTCGTCGTTCATCCATCCGTTGGTGTCCTCGCGAGGACGCGGAGAGGTCGAAGTGTTCGATCGCGACACGGTTTACGCACGGCGCGGTGCGAAAGCATCTCTAGATGTGGCTAGCGCATACACCCCGACGACTTCACAATATCGGCGGCAAAAACGTGCCGGAATCGTCGAGATTCGGGTCCAGGCTCGCGACGATATCACCGGTGGACGCGTGTCTCGAGGTCGCGGTCTGCGCGGTGCTGGCGAGCGCGTGGCTGCTCGCGCTGCCGTTCAGCTTGCTCTTGACCACCACCACCCCTCCGTTGTCCGTGTTGTCCCCTGTGCTGATCGTTTGCACGTACTTACGACCTTTGTAGAGACGGTACATCGTGTACGGTGGATCCTCGACCGTTGTGGCGCGTTGCCTAGGCGCGCTTACCGTCACGCTGACCGTTTGCGCGTGGGCCGATTGCGATGAGGTCTCCACCGTTGTGGTGTTCGCGTTCGCGTTCGAGTTCGCGTTCACCGTCGACGAGGCCATCGTCGATGACGAGGAGCTCACGCGCGACGAGGACGAATTTAACCACTCGTGACGGCTCGCCTCGGTAGGTGTCATACGTTTGTTTGGATCCCATCTGCGGGGACAAGCGAGAAACGGAGGGCTTCGATTAGAATTGGGACGGGCTGTGGGATGATTGAAACGTTTTGTTTGGTGACTTTAATATGCGTTTGCAGTATACAAGGTGGGGACCACGAAGTAAGACTTTCATCACTTCTTAAGACTAGAAAGAATATTTTCTTTATTCTTTGGTTAAAAAAAATTTTTTTTTTTTTTTTTTTTTTTTTTAAATTGGTAGAATATCCTCTTTTGTTGTAAATGATATTTTGTTAATGTTTCTTTGGTTTAGAGGGAGAAAAAATATTTGTTATGATACTTGAGGAATTCGTCTCAGCATCCGCTAAAAGATGGGCGTACAAAAATTATAGGTTTTGTTTTGATAAAAAATTGAGTGTGATCTTGAAAACTTCGGAAAAATTTGGTAGAATCATCGTAAAGTTCTCCTTGAATCATATTGACGAAACAATTTTCGATTGAACAAGCTAACAATAAAATAATCTAAGCTGACCCCGATTCGTGGTCCACCCTGTATAATCGAGTTGTACATTTGTTAAAATGATGAACACCATGAAACAATAAACAGAAAAAATTAATGACATGATGAAGTTAAGAATCAAAATTTGAAATAATTCCAAAAGTGTAATTAGTCAATTTGGTTTGTAAAAGTCTCGACTCGTCATGATTTAAAAAAAAAAAATGGCGATATTTGGAATGTTTGTTATTGATTCCTGTTAAATATTTCGATGTTTGTTCAAGACTTACTCAAGGCATTTGCTGACAAAGTCGACGAAAAGGGTATCGGTGCAGCGAAGAGCCATCGCCAGACTCTTGCTACGGACCCACCTCTTCTTGCCCTTGCTGTTTGTCACGGATCGAGGACTTCCCTTCGGGTCTGAAATCGTAATTTCATTATTGCAGTTTCGAAACGTAATTACACGTGTGCCTCTCTGGCCAGTCCGTAATATCATGTAACCGAACTATAGATTAGCATACAACACGATTGACTAACTTCGTAAAGTATACCAAGTCTATAATGAACGTTCACGCACCGTAAATTCAATTGTGCTATCACGAGGAAGGTCAAAACACGTATTGTATGTACATTGGTAACAATTACTTTATACTTTCCTGAACATAAGAAAAAGCGTTTTAGAGAAACTAAAGCGAGTTTGGATGAAAAAAACAGATTCACAAACCGTAGAAGAGTGAACAATATCTTCCGTATCTAGTGATGGGACGAAACGCAAGCAACTTACACCGAGCTTGGACAAGATTCGCGGTTGAAACTTCGAGGGGTGGTTTCACCCCATAAAGTCGCGTCTCAGCCGATAAAAAAAATTACGTATCCCTTATTTTTGACTTCTTAACAAACATACGAAGTCTTCGTAAGTATACGAAGACTTGCTAAAGTATAAGAAAAAGTTTGATTTGTGAAGTATAAGAAAATTTGTTAATTTCTCGGAATTTTGTTTACCGAAGAAAAGCCTGCGACGAGACGCATGATTGATGATGTAGTTCGGGGGCGCGCCTAGGACCTCCATGATGCAGGCGAGCTGCTCGATCTCATCCTCGCCCGGGAACAACGGGCAGCCGGTGTACAGTTCCGCGAGAATGCAGCCCAAACTCCACATATCGATCGGCGTACCGTACGGAAGACCCAAAAGTACCTCTGGACTTCGATAGAACCTGGACTGAAGGTACGTGTACACACGTTGGTGGCTGTAGCACGAGGATCCAAAGTCTATGACCTTGATCGAGCTGCTACCCCGCTGCTTCAAAAGCACGTTTTCCTGCAACCAGACGAAGAGCCGGCTGATCGGTGGGAACAGTATTAACCGAATCGCTATTTAAACAACTTCTCACTCTCTCTCGTTCTATCCCCTCTGTATTCGTTTGTACATGTTACAGTAAAAGCATTAATTCAGTAAATGTTATATATTTCCTAGTCAATGTATGCATTTACTAATCTGGTTAGTAAATGTGTTCACAAGGAACGGAATTGTTACTAGTAAATTGCATGGACTTACATTTCTGATTTAGTAAAAGCATGGACTAACAAAAATATGTTAATTTCAATCAATTCTCTGTTAATTTGTGTAACTGAAGTATTTATTTTCCCTTATAATTTCCTTAACCCTAAAAGATCCTTAAATTATTAAATAAAGTGTTCAGTTTTCACTTTTGTTCTTTAAATATATCTATATCATGAAAAATTATACTTCCGATATTATGCTTTTATGTAAATTAAAGTTCAAGTGTATATATTTACTAAACTTCACGCTTGTACTGTGGCATATATACTTTGTTTCCTCTCTTCTTCGATTTGCTTGCGCGCCGCGGCCCGTTAAAAGGGAAATCGCGCGTTCGTCCGGCAATTTATTTCCTCATTAACGATCGTGATATTTATTTCGTATAGAATCTGAACGATGCCGTCGCTCGTTGAAAACCGTTTCGACGAGAAATTTTTCTTTAATTTCCGTGGAGGTAAACAGGATCGTTGTGAGAGATTGTGAAATTGCGACATTACGACGGTCAGTGGTAATTATTTGGTAGAATAAACGGTGGGGGTTCTTAATGGTTGAACTATGTAGCGTAATAGGTTGCAATATTATTTTGTGTAGGTGAACGGAATCATTAAGAAATTGTAAAGTAGTAATATCATGACCGGTTAGTGATAATTATTTTGTAAAATAAACGATGGGGGTTTTTAATGGTTGAACTATGTAACCTAATAATTGCAACATTATTTTGTACAAGTGAACAGGATCGTTAAGAAATTTTGCAGTTGTAACATCATGACCATTAGTGTGGTTTTTAAAAGTTAAACTTCGGATATACGTAGGTACTTACGGGCTTCAGATCGCAATGGATGATGTTCTCTCGGTACAACAGTCTCAGGCAGCTAATTAACGAATTAGCGAATCGTCGTATTAGACTCAGACTAAATCCCTGATAGTTGTTCTTTTTGATTAGCTCGTATAAATTCAAACTGAAAATGAGAGAGAGACACGATTGTAAATATTTGGATATTAATCTGTTATTGAATTCTGGTTAGCGTGAAAAGACAGTCCCCGAATTGTCGACACGTATTCGTTCAACTCACCTCATCAACTCGAAAGTGATGCACAAATGGTTCCTGAAGTAGAAATATTCTAGCATGTGTATCACATTGTGGGACGCGTTCGCCTCCAAGTCCTTCTTCCTGAGATGTTCCAAGATCTGCACCTCGATCAACGCCTGGTGATGGAATCTCTTTTTGTTCCTGCAACGACGAGAAAGCGCGCGTCATTTGAATTGAAGGAACAAAGCGAGGGCTGGTTCCACACGGACGCGACACGACGCATTATAATTGACGTGTCAGTGTGCATTACGATACGACGTGATTCATATGCTCTGACTGTTCGCTCACCTGATGATCTTGATGGCGATGTACTGGCCCGTTTTGTGATCCAGCGCTCTGATCACTTGGCCGAAGCTACCTTTGCCTATCACCTCCAGGATCTCATATCTGAATAGTACAATACAGAACTCTTTGACTTAGGATTTTACGACAACCGAAGGCGTTAGAGCATAAAGAGGTTATGTAACGTTTTTGTGAAAATTGAGTTCTCTATGAAGGTATATGTGGTGTTTTTTTTTCGTATAATAGCTTATTTCAAATAATTTTTACACTTAGTTTACTGCAAACGTGATGTTTGTAATGTAACATATTCATCCTATTTTACAGACTCCTCTCGATTATTGTCTGGTTTGTTCTACACGATTATTGTCAAGCCCATACTTTGTTGCCAAGGCTCAGGCTCCGGGCAAAAAAAACGAATTTACGAGGGTCTGAAGCATTTCTCACTATTAGATTATTGTCTTGGCGCTGACCCGAGTTCGGGACAATAATCGAGAGGAGTCTGTATTTACATTTTGTCTTGGGAACCGTTCGTCTGTTTCTTATCAGACGCTTCGAGTAAAGTAGTATGCAATCATTGTAGTCTTACGACAGTGAAACTACGAATGGTAATCTTTAAATGATCCGTTTAAGCTTAGATGTAAAAAAGGGGAGTTATTTTGAAAAGTTTCTAGAAACCGCAAGTTAATTATTAAATTTAGTAGCAGTTCGAATTTCACCATGGCTTGCAGTGAAACGAATCACGATTACATTAAATTACCAGTTAATCCATAACAATTTTTCCGTTGGTTTAACTAACCGAAAAAACCAATAAAACGTCGAACCGCCATTAACACTTCTGTTTCTCTCTGCGTGTTTTATTCACCAATAAAGTTTTTCCTAACAACCTACGATACTAAAATGGAAATTACCCGTGATGCTCGACGCGTAGAATAAGCAATATCACAGTGAACATTTCTTCTCGACCCGTTTTAATGTATGAATTATATTGACTATGCAGAACCTCGAACATCATTTCTTCGGGTGAGCACGGTTTAATCGTTCGATGGACAGAGATGGAAATCGGGCGTAAATAGGCAGATGGTAATTAAATGGAAAGTCTCGTGGAAACTCAGTCACCTGTACGAGATATGATCGTGGAGGACCTTGTTGTAGTTCCCGTTCTCGTCGTCGTAGCCGCCATTTTGCGACGAACCTTCCTCCCCGTGGATTTTGTGGGCCGGCAGGCCCAGATACCAAATTTCCGAGTATTTCTCGATTTCCGCGCGCTCGAAATCGGTGAGTCTTGAACCAAAGTACTTGATCGCTTCCTGCGGTGTCATTGGCAATCTCCCAGCTATTTCGAAACAATCAACAGAAAAATCCCGAATATTTAGATTTGGAAATTTTCGAAATTCTCATCTTATCACGACGAATAACTTTGTACTGATAAAAAGAACAAACGATTCTTATTGTGTACCGTAGAACCTCTATTGTATGAATATAATTGTTGGGAATACGAGAATTTTTTAATGCTTTTATCAATGAATACTGTGGTCGATTTCGAACGAAATTTGTAAATATTTTGTTGCGAGAAAAATATAAATCCATACGTACAGTATATGTCGTGAGACGTGGCGTTGATAGAAGGTTCATGCATCGGCATATTGTGGATGTTGTTGGTCGTCGAATTGTTCGTATTATTGTTGTCCGACTTGTCCACTCGCGTGGGTTTCGGGTGAAAGAATGACAGTAATTTCTGAAACAAAGAATCATTACGGAACGCGTTACCGATTTTTCCACGAAAAATACACAAAAAAATACAAACATATTAACAGTCTCTTTCTTAAATAAAATTCCCATATAACAATATAACAATCGCCGCCATTTTAAAAAAACCATTCGAGCCGTTCTTCCATGGCGGCGAGAACGAGCTTTTTCTTCAACTTTCAAATTAATTTATCCACCGCCGCGCAAAAGAAAGTCCACGGTGTTCCGTCGTAGTATTTTATAATCGGTTTCACGGAGGGAAAACCGACGGAGGAGAAGCGCAAAGGGGGTGGACCGCAAATAAATTCCACGATGAACGCCGACGTCAACGAGAGATCACGTCGGTGATTACCGTTCTCGACCAGCAATACATACAACATTCGCGTATTAAATACACGCAGACGGTAATTATACGATGGAATGCTTTGAGGAGCCTCCGTGCCACGATTGTTATAATTTTGCTGGAGGTTCGCGGTCGCGTGCGCGACATGGTCGTCCGTTACGATGCGGATTCGCGACCCTATGCGGCTGTTCCCCGATTCGCAATGTCAAGTTCCCTAACACGTGCACACAGGGTGACCTGAAATTAACGTATACAATTTTGACAATATTTTTAGGAGATCGTTCAAACGGAAAATTATACGAGCATACGAAGCCAATCTGATTGACTCCATTTTTCAATAACCTGCATCTTTTTGGTATCTTGTACAATAGATTTTTTTTCGCAAAATCATCACAGGCACAGAAAACCGCGTCGATGTCAGCGCAATGGAATATCCGCGAAAGTGGGACGAAACGACGCGTCCAGAACCCGCCTTTCTATGTGTGCGTATTGACCCCGTGACGGTGGCTCTCGGGGACAAGTTTAACGACACCGGGAGAAACGGCCCCGGCAATTATGTCTCCTCTTCCAGGCATTAAAGGCGTTTCTGTTTGCGTAGCGTCGCTTTTCCGTATGGCCAAGGGCGTCAGTCACACCGGTCGTGTCTATGCCGTTTTGAATGACAATCAGACCCAGTCGTCTGTCGTCTGTCCTGTCTCTGGTCTGTTCATTCTGTCGCGTTGTCCTCGGTTGAGAAGTTACACGTAGGGATGAATCGATACAAGTAAATACGAGTACATTACTCGATACTTTTGTTTCGATACCAAGTAGGTATCGAAAAAGGTACTCGTATCGAATGGAGTGAGTATCGACCCATAAACATTTGATATTGTAATTACTTTCAACGCAAAACGATGTTGTTTATATTAACAATTAGGGAATGTATATTTCAATAATTTCAATATTAAAATAATATAGGTATACAATATGGTTATATATTTAAATAAATATATAATACACGACGACCAATGGGACCATTCATTTTCCTCGCGCACTTTTCCTACCAGCCAGCCAGCCGATTTCACGATTTGTCTCTACATACAGAGAACAGTTTCCCCCACCACGTCTGTCGATCGTTTCGACGAAGTTACGAGCTTGTAAAACGCGATCGATCGGAAAAAGAGAAGTGCCTGGGAACTCGGTGAATTAATTCCACTCCCCCAACTCCACTGCGGTCGTGTCGGTTCGCGCGAACGAAACACCGTCCGTACAGGTTCGACGCGGAAACGATCGCCAGCTCTTTCAACGAGCAGAATTTCCATATAGATAAAAAGTGACCGGAGACAGTACACACGGGGAACAGTATAGATTCCATTCCCTGCCGGTCCCGTTTCGATGGTCGTCAATGTCAAGTTTAACTGCGACAGAACCTCAGGTTTTACGATCGGTTCTCTATCCCCGAGATCCCGACGATCGCTCGTTTGCATACCGATATATTTACCCCGGATATTCGTTCTGGGTTCCTTTCGAAACCGGCTCCGATTTCAAACTAACCGTGCATGATGGAATGATCAGTTTACTACTTATAACGAAATTCTCCGTTTGAAGTACATACATAGTGACTCGCACATTTGTTCATAGATTTCTGAAACAACAATTGAGTGTCGAAACTTTTACGCAGTTTCTATTCATGTACATAGTCTTCTTAGCATTACTTCTATCATCCTTTTGTGATAGATTTTTCTTGATTTTGAAATAAAATTCGTATTTTGGTAATTCAATAAAATCTTGTGAATCATTGTACATTCTATATAAAGATGTATACAAAAAAAAAACAGGTGGTATGAGTACTCGGTTAAGAATAGGAATAATGGCGATAAAATCTTCGTTCCTACAAAGTCTTAAAAAAAATTTTACTGAGAATGGAACTATTTCTCTATTGCGCAACAATACGAAACGCATAAAATGCGATTGCAAAAAGGGAATGAACCTTAATTACCGCAGTTACGCACGGTCCCGCGACCTTTTAATAGAAATTTATGTCAAACATTCTGGTCTGGTAATCGTCGTTAACCCTAATCAATTGGCGGGGAATCGTCGCGAGGCGCACGGATGAAGTGCGCGCGCGCGCCACTCAAAGGAATTCCCGCGTCGTCCTCCCCTTCGAAGCTTCTTTCGGCCGGCGTATCGACACGAAACGATATCCACGACCTAGCGAGACGATAATTCCAACGTGGCCGATCGGCGTTGCGTGATCGCGAATAATATGCGATCCCATGATCCCCCGTGATTACACGTTGCTGCAATGAATTGCTTACAAGGTACGAACTGTTTATGGGATTCGGGCTCATCAGGGAGGGAAGAAGAGATCCCAGGGATCCTGATACACTCTCGAACAGCAATCTTCTTTTTGGAAGTAATTTTATCTGTGTGTTCAACGTCACGAAATCAGTTTAAGAATGGACTCTTTTGTGGTTTAGTCCGCACGTATAACATAAAACTGTTTCGATTTTAACATCACGAATTTTTCGAATCATTAAACATTGTTAAAACTATGAGTCTTATGTATATCATTATCATATTATTCATATATATTTATATAGGAGAATATCAGGTGTACCACTCAGATATTTTTTTCTATAAAACTCTACACTTCCTCGAAGAAAAACCTAAATCGTTTTGGTCAGTTAACGATATTTGTTATTTGCCTACAACATCCTATTTACATAATTTTCACTGAACAGGAAATAGTCAACGTATTCTGAATTTTAATTGTACAGTTTTACTGTACCTATATTTTTATTAGTTATCAACAGACCTAACCAATTAACTATTTCCTTCAGTAACGAAACCAGTAGTATACTTTACACGAAAAGTTTCCACCTGACCTTCCACTCGGTAGAACCAGCGTAGGATATTGGAAAATCATTACGAACATAAATTAAACTTTACCACGTTCCAGGCTCCCAGAGAAGCAAATACTGATTTCGTCAAGAAGCAATGGATCCTACCATTGGTACACCAAATATTTACCAGTCCCTCGACGTTAGTCTATTTAAAATTTATCTCCAAGGCCCCCGGGGAGGTTAACACCTCAGGGCTGATGGTCTCAAATATTTTCGAACATTTTACGCTCCGAAACGTCTCGAACCAGCAGCAGCAGCAGTGAATACGACGGGCGGTCATCATCAGGGTCGACCTCATCCGGTCTCCAAAGTCGAAGATCGAGAAAACGGAACCAAGCAGCGTGCCTATCTCGAGCTTGGGTACCAAAGTGAGTTTCGCAACGCGTTCGCCCCTCGTGTAATGAAAAATTATTATCGTCCAGGCATCGCATGACGTTGCGTCGGAGCATAAATAAAAAGCGAGAAAGCGGAATATAACCCGAGAAGAGTCTCCTAACCCCCAGTGCGCGAGCTCGCCCGTATATAAATTGTAATCGTGTACACCAAGAGAGAGAGAGAAAAAGAGACAGAGATTCCACCTCTCCCATCTTTTTCTCCTCGTTTTTCGTTGCAGCCGGCTGTCTTCTGCCAGGCGACACCGCGCTAACGGCTGAAAAGCATAAATAAAACGTACATACATTCGCGACCGGCCGAGATTCACGCAACGCCCGATACGGCAGTCGAAAATCAGCATTTCGACCCTTGATATTCGTCCCTCTTCGAAGAAGGACCCTTGTTTCGAGAGTTTTAAATTAGGGGTGTTTGATTCCTATTTGATTTTCCAGAAGATCGATTCCCTTGGGGAATATTTTGATAAAAAATGTTCTAAGATTGTGTAAAAATTTCTCTATACAGTAAATTCTTGATAAACGTTCGGAGAGATCTCTACGTTAAACGCTTCTGTTTCATCCCCGCTCCTAGTGGGTCAATTTTTTAAATTAATCAAGCGACTAGTCCAATTTACGAGGTGCAGAAATAGTGTCCCTCTACGATAACTGTTCCAAAGCAGTTTCTAGCATTAAACGAAGATTTACTGTACATCGACCGTAAGCTCCCGAATTATAACAAATCGAATTCTACCAACTGATACATACGAAAATCGTGTGATTTCGCTGACAATAGACCAAGGTTTACTAGCAAACTATTCCATTAGTCAGTTTTTCATCTCCAATCTTTGCGCTGCTTGTAATTGCGCATGACCCTAAATCGTGAATCCTGTAAACCCAACGACGATATATCGTCAATTTATTATGGTCGTTACTCGACGACCAACACTTTTCCCCTATGTTTTTCTCTCTCCCCAGGGAACGGTTCATCCTGAATCCCGGAGAGCAAACACACCTGGGCCACGCGTGGACCCGAGTCGACATAGTGTATGTATTATAGGAGGAAGGAACGGATAGGCACGTAAGAGCGGATTTTACCCAAGGACGACTCTGAACGTTCCGACTCGGCGATGCTGGGTGTTTCGATCCTCGAGAGATAGGTACCTACATACAATAATTCCTTACGTCCGAGTTATGCATGCGGTTTACCTTGTGACATCTCTCGGCTGCGGCCACCGCGCGCGCGCGCCTTTCTAATGCGATACACCTCGAGTGCTCGACGCATTATTCACTGGGTGTCCGAAACGTAACTTTACTGTCTCGTCGCTGATTCACGGGAGTCATTGATTTTTATTTCAAATGCCGCCACTGCGTAGTTGACTAAAGCAGCAAATAT